GCAGCAAATTTGCAATCTGTAAGATTAGGATCACAAAGAGCTTTGAAGTGCATAACTAGAACATTTTTTTGCATGAGAACTGGTTGCATCAGGGGGATGTGAAGATTCACTGCAACCACCACAAAAAAAAAAGGGGGGGGGTCGTCAAAATGGCATTTCCGGAGACATTAAGGTGGGCAATTCCTTTTCGAGGCTGTGAGGTTGATCAGGAAAGATGCTGGATTAGGCAATGGGAGGTGTAAATTGCAAATCTGTCCTCAACCATAGAGAAACACTGCCTGGATGGAGGATGATACACAACATTCCCTTGCTTGAAATCTTGAACTACATGACATCTAATCAAGTTTCTGAAACCTACTGGCCAGTTTTGGCAAGCATTTGCAGGCAGAGGGATGTTTGCAGATAGTCCTCGACTTACAACAGTTTGTTTAGTGACCGTTCAAACTTAGGATGGCATTGAAAAAAGTGACTTATGACCTTTTTTCACACAGCCATTGCAGCATCCCCATGACCACGTGATTAAAATTCAGAACCTCGGTCACTGTTTCATATTTATAACAGTTGCTGTGTCCTGAGGTCATGGGATCAACTTTTACAACCTTCTGAAAAGCAAAGTCAATGGGGAAATCAATGTCATTTAACAACCATATTACTAACTGAACAACTGCAATGATCCACTTAACAACTGTGGCAAGAAAAGTCTTAATTTGGGGCAAAGTTCACTTAACAACAGAAATGTTGGCCTCAATTATTTTGAGGACTACTTTTAATTTCTTTTAGGAAGATGGAGGAGGGGGGTGATGATTAGCGTGGCCAGATGAGACTGGAGACTTGATTTTTCTCTGGTTTCTCTGATTTTTAGAGATTAGTTTTCATTTTTCATTATCTTAAGCCTTTGAAGAAGAAAAATATATAGCTGAAAGCAATACTGCAAGAGTTATAATGCAGTCTCGAATTACCACTTCCTACCATAGGACTAGTCCTTATTTAACTAAATTATATACCAACCACTTCATTGTTTGGGGTCAACTCTGGACAGCTTACAATTTTAAAAAGAGAAATATAAAAATTAGGAGTGCTGTGGGTTAAATCCTCTTTTTGTTAATGCCTCTGGTGTTTCTTCAGCAAAAGCTAAATGAAGGCAGGCAGGAGAGGCCTTTGTAATGCAAATAGACGTACTTCCCCTTTAGGCAAGTTCAGGGTTTTAAAAAAACTACTAAGGTTGTTGCAGAAAAAAGAAGAAAGATCTCTAGAAAAGATAGTAATATATCTAGTCAATCAACGTTCATGGCATCACGTTTTTCACAAGAGTTTAGTTCACAAAATCCTTTCAGGGTGGCTGGATTTAAATAAGTCTCTGCAAGATCCCTGCAGCTTTCTTATCAAGCATTGTCCTTTCTTCATCTTTTCTTAACACTGCTCTCCTTTCCTTCAGCCGCAACTGTACATATGTAATTATTCTGGATGATGTTCTATCTAAATGCTCTGTGATTTGCAAATACTTTATCCAATCAGCATTATTGAGGTGTGAAGTTTCCACAAGATCCTAACCCTCCAGAGTTCTCAGTGTGACCTTCTCCTATTTAATCTCTTTTAAGATTATCTGAAGGAAAGATAAAGTGGGAAGCCAGCAAAAGCTGCAAAGTAAAAACAGCCTCAAGCACACTCTGCATTTCTAAAGTGCTTCAAAAAGTTCTTCAAAAAGTTCCATCAGGATTTTAAGGGTTTTATTTTCACACAAGTCACTGGACCCAAGTTTATTTTTCGCTCACCTTATTTTTACAGGTAACGCAAGCTGGCAAACATACCTAGTACTCTTTCCTCCTCCCATTTTCCCATAACCCTGAGA